CTAATTACTTGGTGGTCAATCATTGTAAGTAATTTGTTGATGTGAAAAAAATGTATTTTATTGATGAAAGTAGATGACTGTTCATATGTCTTTAGAAATAACCATGTCTAAAAAATGACTGCATGACTTTTCTTTAGTCTTATCTGTTTATTCAATAGAGTACTCAACCATAAAAGTAAAGCCTTAAACCTACACTCTTTATTAAACTCTTCTTATATCTATACAAAACAAGAAAAAGACGGCTTTGGCTATACATACTTGGATATCCATCTTTCAATGTAAGTCTCTAAAGCTGGCCATGTATGGACCGTTTTTTGTTTTTTTTCAAGCAGCCGGTGGGTGGATGGAGGAATTCTTTATAAATAAATAGTGCGGCGCTGCCTAACACAAATGAACAAATACATATATCTTATATGTATGCGTGATGTGCTACAATCGCAGCGCTGTACCATTTATTTATAAATTGTTCACACATTCTCACTTGGTTTGTAGTAGGCGTTAGCAGCCTCCTATTATATTTGTTCCATCTATTCCCTTTATTTAGTTTTCAGATGCAGGGATTCTGTTGTGCTATTATATACTGTCAGCGAGGGCCCCTCCACTGTCAAAATACATTGATCAGTGCTGCAGCTGAATGGTTGCAAACACTGATTGGATGAAAATTTTCTAATTTTAGAGAAGTCTACTGATACTCTTAAGGAGACCTTTAGACCTATGTTCAGGGATCTGGCAGTAAATGTTATAACATCTAAGATGGACTTTAACTCAAATGTTAAACTTAATTTTAACCCACAAACAAAAATATAATTATATTGCAGCTTACCAGTTTCTAGACGTGATGGCTGCTCTTGTTTTATTTTTCTCTGGACTTTTATTTCTTTTTTACCTGGCAATCCCAGTAATACACATCCTGTCCATGGGTGACTGTGCTCAGTCCTCTGCTGTATCTATGGATTAAATCAAAGTTGTCACATAGACTGGACTTTAAACATGCCTTCCTCTCTTTATGCCCATTGCATGAGGAAGGGATTAGTAGTTTACAAAAAGAAGACATGTTTTTTGCTGTCTGTTCAGTTCAAACTGACAAGGACAATGCATATTGGCAAGATCAGCTGGTATTTTCTTCAGAAAATATTCTGTGTAAGAAATGAAAACTAACGCAGAGATAAAAAATCAGTGAATTTCCTAGTATGTGCCTACAACCTCACCTATCAGCAGCATGAGATCAACCAAGGCACTGCTGTGTCTGACTGTTTGTTTTAGGAGATTTGAAGTAAGATTTGGTGATTGTCACTACAAGAAAGCAATCTTCACTACATATATCTGTATACTTCTGCTTCATCTATTCTGTGGATTTGTGCTTCCTCTATTTCCCCTGCTGTTTCTTCATCATTATCCCACCAGCCACCAGATCACCAGCTATTGGGTGGTGGTGGTGGGGGGGGCAGCCCTAACAAAAGTGGCCACACACAGAGACACAGTATAGAGCAAGGCATGGTAAATCAGTGGTGGGTAAAGATCAACTGCAGGGGGCCACATGCTATACTTGATACTTGACTATTCCATTTCCCTCTGCTTGCCTTATGTGGGTGCAGTGTGCACACTACAAGTCCTCTTTAAGCAGTGGTTTGGTAACTTTGCCATGACTTTAAGTTTGCTTTAAAATGCACTCTCCATTTTATACCCCAGGTAAGAGAAAAAATAGACACTTTCTATGAGCTCATACCTCGTATTATGATACATACATTTATTTCACATGTAGACATAGCAGCAAAAATTTGAAGTTGCGCTTTCATGCTGCATATTCTCCTTTTCTTGATTTCAGCATTTTAAATTGTTCCATTTTGCTTGTCTTCCTTCTCCCTATGCCACCCCCTCCCCAATCTCTCCCTTGATAGAGGCCCCTGTGCGCGTGCTGCTATTTTAAGCCTGGCGGTGTTCCTGTGCTATCAATAATCCCTTGTCTATCCTTCTCTCCTTCCCTGTGAGTGAGGACAAGCTTGTTCTAACCCAGCAAAGATCCTGGCTGTCTTCATGATTGAAGTATTTGTGAGCGCTGCATGGTTCTTTGGCAGACTCCTTCTGTTACAAGCTCCTGATTACCCCGTGAAGCCCTCCAGACTTTTCTTACTGGTGTCTTTTATAAGCGTATTTATAATCAGAAACATTGTTCAGTGCCTGGGACTGGTTCCATGATCGCAGAAAACTGCAGACCCAGCAACCATGATGGCTCAGGAGCTTTATCCTTCTGCAGGATAGTTATATGACTACAGGAAACCAGTTCAATGTCTGACATAACAGAGAATTATTGGAAATGATAGATGTAACAAACATGATTATTCCACTATCTCAGTGGTTCCCAACCTTTTCTATACCGCACACCCCTAGAAAATATTTGATTAATGTTTGCACCTCCTGCAAAAGTAATATCACATTTGAAGATGAAGACGACTAGTTTATTCTTTTGGAGCCACATGCATTATTGCAGGTGTACAGATGAAACTTAAAAATAAGTACCAAATTGTAGGAATATGGATCATGATTCTTAGCACTGACCAAGACCTATCCTTACAAGATCTCAGCTCAGAAGAATTTGTCTTAGGGATCAATAAGGTGCCTAAGTAATGTTTTTAGGGATTATAAAGGTTAGGAGTTAGATTCTTGATTAAGCACTTGCTGACCGCCTATGGCAGTTTTACTGCTACAGGGCATCCGCTCTGTGCAGAATCATGTATGTATATATATGTGATTCTGCATTTTCCGGGTATGTGGCATGCACGCGAGCCCACCTACCCACACTGTCATTGGCTCTGTACATGTTAATCACCGGGTCCTGGCCACTGATTCATGGCAGAGCAACTGACAGGAGAGAGATCCATGAAAGTAAACAACACAGATCTCTCCTCTGTCAGGGGGGATGTGCTAGTTTTCATCTCCTTGAAAAGCAGGGAGATAAAAACCAGCACATCCCCTAGTAAAGCACCACACCGTACACTGTAAAATAACTCCCCTAACAGAGTTAACCCTTTGATCACCCCGGTTGTTAACCCCTTCCTGCCCAGTGTCATTAATAGAGTGACAGTGCTTTTTATTAGCACTGATCACTGTATTAGAGTCACCAGAGATGTTAGTCAGTTTCCATCCAGTGTCATCACTATAATGGAGTACAGGGGAGGGGGGATATACATACTGTGTACATGTCATATCACTATAATGGAGTACAGGGGAGCTGGGATATACATACTGTATACATGTCATATCACTATAATGGAGTACAGGGGAGGGAGGATATACATTACTGTATACATGTCATATCACTATAATGGAGTACAGGGGAGGGAGGATATACATTACTGTATACATGTCATATCACTATGATGGAGTACAGGGGAGCTGGGATATACATTACTGTATACATGTCATATCACTATAATGGAGTACAGGGGAGCTGGGATATACATTACTGTATACATGTCATATCACTATAATGGAGTACAGGGGAGCTGGGATATACATACTGTACACATGTCATATCACTATAATGGAGTACAGGGGAGGGAGGATATACATTACTGTATACATGTCATATCACTATAATGGAGTACAGGGGAGCTGGGATATACATTACTGTATACATGTCATATCACTATAATGGAGTACAGGGGAGCTGGGATATACATTACTGTATACATGTCATATCACTATAATGGAGTACAGGGGAGCTGGGATATACATACTGTACACATGTCATATCACTATAATGGAGTACAGGGGAGGGAGGATATACATTACTGTATACATGTCATATCACTATAATGGAGTACAGGGGAGCTGGGATATACATTACTGTATACATGTCATATCACTATAATGGAGTACAGGGGAGGGAGGATATACATTACTGTATACATGTCATATCACTATAATGGAGTACAGGGGAGGGGGGATATACATTACTGTATACATGTCATATCACTATAATGGAGTACAGGGGAGCTGGGATATACATTACTGTATACATGTCATATCACTATAATGGAGTACAGGGGAGGGAGGATATACATTACTGTATACATGTCATATCACTATAATGGAGTACAGGGGAGCTGGGATATACATTACTGTGTACAGTTTTATATTTTGGACTATTTATTCTAAAGAAAAATGTAATTTCATAAGCTTTAAGGGGGCGTGGTTGGGGCCGGACAAGGGTGGGGTTGGGGGCAGACCTGGGAAAGGTTGGGTGGGGCAACTGGTGGAGAGTAAGTTTTGTGACTGGCTAGTAGGTCTGTACTCAAAATTTGTGTTCTTTCATTTCTGAGCATCACAGTCTTGGTCATTCAAATTTTATTGACAAATACTTTACTGATTACACAAATATTGTTCGTTTTGTTATCTGTTACACAGCTGCAACACCGTATGTGATCTGCAAGAGATTTTTAAAAAGGCATACCTGTAAAAGAACTATATTCCACTGACCGCACTGCTGAACAACTGACCAGTCCTGAGATATGGTCCCCCTAATTCTGCAGGAAACCAACACCTCCATTAATATTAATACGTAAATCAACAACATCTGCTCAATGTGAAGGTTTTGAAAGTTTATTTAGAAAAGTTGCAAAGAAAAAGTAAATATGAGAAACAGATATTAACATCTATGGAGATCCTGGCAGATGTTCCAAGGATCTGACCTCTTGATCAAAACCAGAGGCTTATAAGCTCAAGTCCTGGACAACTGTCATGTAGGCCCCTTCCAAACACACTTTTTACATATCAAATTATTCCGAATTCACACAAGCAACATATCATTACCAGACAAATTCATTTCTGCTATCTTGAAATACCTTATCAGCTTGACTGTCCTCCAATCTCTGAAATGCCTCACTGTACAGCAGCGGTCTCCAAATTGCAGCCCGGGGGGCCCTTTGCTTGCTTTTATCTGGCCTTTGGGACATTATTCCCCCTGCTGTCATCAACACTGGGACACTACTCTTCCGACTGACACCTTTCCTCCCACTGACAAATTATGGGGCACTATGCCTCCCACTGACACAAATGATGGGGCACTATTCCTCCCACTGACACCGACCACCAACCATGGGGCACTATTCCTCCTACTGACACCAACCATGGGGCACTATTCCTCCCACTTACACCAACCATGGGGCACTATTCTTCACACTGACACGAACCATGGGACACTATTCCTCCCATTGACACCAACCATGGGGCACTATTCCTCCCATTAACACCAATCATGGGGCACTATTCCTCCCACTGACACCAACCATGGGGCACTGTTCTTCCCACTGACACCAACCATGGGGCACTATTCCTACCACTGACACCAACCATGGGGCACTGTTCTTCCCACTGACACCAACCATGGGGCACTATTCCTACCACTGACACCAACCATGGGGCACTATTCCTTCCATTGACAATAAAGATGTGACACTGTTCCTCCCCTAATACAAAAGAGGGTACACTGTATACTGTTTACTCCGGGACATTTTCTTCTTCCAATGGCCCGTCTAAAATATGAAGGACAGTAAATTGGCCCTTTGTTTAGAGAGTTTGGAGAGCCCTGCTGTAGAGCAAAAAGATGAATTGTCTCTGTTGTACAAAAGGCATTTCAAAAATCCCAGTCATCTGTTCTAATAATTATTTTTCTGCAAATTCAAGTGAATCTGTTATTATATAAAGAACCTAACATTCGCATAAAAGCACTCAGTAATCTCATTTAGTAATTAGTGAAACATAATAGTAATTTTTTTTCTTTATCAGTCTACCTCAATGCATTACAGGATACAGGAGTATAAAGTATATTTTATATACAAAATAAAAATGTATACACTTTCAAAAAGTTGTAAATATAAGTGGCTTTACAGCTTTCTTTTAATATTTCAACTTTGTAATTTCTTATAAAAGCAAAATGAGAGCAAAATCATCCCCTTGAAGTATTGCTACCCCAGGCCTGAGCCTGAATAGCCTTTCCATTGATCTGTCAGTGATTTTCCATGTAAAGCATTCAATAAGCAAAAAAAAATGCTCAAATCCCGCATTTATTTTCTAGTGGAACAGTTAAAAAAAACCAGGCGGTTCGGAATTATGGAAGCGACACACAGCTTTACAATTTCATTAGCCGCAGAAACGATGTCATATGGGCCTCTTTATTTTTTTTGAAATGGAAAATAGTTTTTCTAAGTCCTCCAGGCAAGACTTGGCAGATCTGCAAAGACTTCATCTCCCTTACAACTAATAAATGGAGTATCTCCTTAATGCCGATTTCAAGAATAAGGACAAAAATTCTGCAAATTAGATTCGCCTTCAAAATATTGAAAATGTGATGTTTTTCTATTTGGCAGTAATAGCGTTCTAATTGAATTGTTAACACTTGCAGAACTGCAGAGCTTAGGGACCAGATTTGTATTCTAGGGTAGAAGTGTTCACAAGGAGATGACACAGTTTCCCTTCTCCTGAATGTTTTATACATTGAATTACAAAGGAAAGAAGTATCTATATAACAAACATCAATTTAAATAAGTCCAGGTAGAAGCTCGGAAATATCAAGTTATTTTAAATGCTCATCTGCAGGGTTTTTCCTGTCTATAAATTATGTTTTATTTACTGGAAATGTGCCTTTTAACATGCTAGAAAATATTACTGCTCCAGATAGAGTCGATTCCCTAGTTCAGCCCCTCCCTCCTTCCACATTGTAGCGCTCTCCTCTGTGGGGAGTGTGTAGCCTCCCTGGCGGTATTCCCGAGTGTAGCTCGGGGTAAAGTTTCAGCACCACAAGCGGTAACCCTGAGCTACACTCGGGAATACTCTGCAGCGTTGCTCCGGGATCTCTTCTTCACTTACCTTGTCCTGCGCTCCCGCGATGTCCCTCCTGCAGTGTCCCCTGTAATGTCCTCTGGGGCACGCCGGCATCTGTCTTCTGGGTTCCGTCCCCTGCGACGTCGGGACGTACGGGGGACGGAACTGGCGGGAAATTTGAAAATGACAAAAAGTGACATTCACTAAATACACTAAAATCACATAGTAAAACATTACTGTATCAAACCATTTCACATACATTCTGTCCCCAGTGCTTTGTCCTGTGCCCTGCCTGCATTTTTACTGTTCTTTCTGCCTGGAAACTGAGAAATGTCCATGGTGTCCAAAAAGCGCCCCTTTTAGGTCAAAATCTGTTTTAGACCAGCTAGAGAACAGTGATAGTAAATTAGAACCACTTGCAGAATTGAGTGATAATGATTCGTGGGGAAATTCGTCATCAGACACTGAAAACGATTTTGCAACTTTGCTCAGTGATGTGCGAACTTGGCGCTATATTTCAAATTTCAGTGTTTTTGGTTTGATTATATTATTGAATTAAATGTATTATTATATTATTTTTTATGATTATTTATTAAATTATAATTTATGATTTTGTGTTTCAAATTTTAACATACCCGGGATGTTTACTAGACTCTTGTTTGGACAGATTTCAATGAGTTATGCCTAAAAATTACAGGCCTACAATAAAAAAAATACATATTTCCATGCAAAAAAATGTACCGCTTTGAGCACTGAAATATGGACATAATCAGACCACTAGGGTGGTTAATTACTCTCTGTGCTGGCCCAGCTCCCCCGCCCCTCCCCTTTCTTCAATGGATTACCCTTTTTTGTAGCTGCTTGGGATGAAGGGAAGAGCAATACTATATAGACTGTCACTCGAGAGATGACTCAGTCTGCTGGGGCTGCTGACATCACATCCAAGATGGCGGTGCCCAGCAACAGACTCAGGGCTTTTAAATGTCCTCACAAGGGAGGCTTTTACAGGTAATTAACATGCACAAAATACATTTGTCACGACCCGCGGTCGCCGCCACCAACAGGCGACAATCGCACAGCCGCGACTAACAGTAATACGTCACGCCCATGGCGTCAGACCCCAGACCTTCTCATCAAACTCGTGACCGAAGGGCCGGCCGATCCAAAACCGCGGTGTGACGTGCGTAACAAGGCCCCACCCAGCTGCACCCTATACAGCGATTGCCCAGCTAATGGACTACAATCGGTGCCTGCAGCCTGAATGCGCTTGTTACTGGGTCGGGTTAGTTACGCAACTAACCCTCTACTGCCACCACCACTTTTGTCGGAGACTGGGAAACTCCCGTTATCAAATATACACTATAATGATCGAAATATTGATCTATATAGCACGGCCCGCGGACCTGCTATACAGAGATATAACAAACCGTAGCGTCTCTTCAAGGCATTCGTGAATTGCAAGTAAGCGCTTAGAAACAGTTTAACACTTTCAGACAGAAAGATTTATTACTAAAAGCGTCAGACAGATGCAAATACATATTTACAAAGAGATGTCACAAAAATATATATATATATGTATATAAAGACACAGCAAAGAGATAATTAGGAAGAAGATTACAGGGTTGAGTTACTTGCCCTTAGCCTGGGTTTGCAGATCCAAGTTGTGAGCAGGGTGATTTCTTTGATCTCCCCTTGTTACGATGTTGCTGGGAGATCTCTCTGTGTGAGTCTTGTGTGTGTGTGTCAGACTAACTCACTTGACGCTCTTAAAGGTCCCTCTCAAAGGGGAGGGGGGGGCTCTGACTACACGTTTTGGGAGTGGTCATTGGGGAACTCTGAACTAACTACAACTCATCCCCCATGATATGAAACATACAGTTCACCTGAGGAATGTGCAATTATCTTATCTTGAGTAAGATGGGGGAGGAAGTACACTTTACAGCCTTTATCGACTGCTGGACGCAGGATGTCTTAACCTGGTTGACCCCCACACCATCTGCCAGAAGATACTTTGCCTCTCAGGAAGGGAGGAGGGTAGGAATAAGGCTGAGGAATGCCTCAAATAAACAGACAGAACACGAAAAAGGGAGTTGAAGGGGGACTCCGCTCCAACAAGGATGAGCAAGTTTGCCACAACATTCACTGGCCAATTTATAAGGTACACCTGTTCAATTGCTTGGTAACACAAATTGCTAATCAGCCAATCACATGGCAGCAACATAATGCATTTAGGCATCTAGACGTGGTGAAAGACGAATTGCTGATGTTCAAACTGAGCATCAGAATTGGAAAGAAAGAGGATTTAAGTGACTTTGAACGTGGCATGGTAGTTGGTGCCATACGAGCTGGTCTGAGTATTAAAAAACTGCTGATCTACTGGGATTTTCACGCACAACTTCTCCAGGGTTTACAGAGAATGGTCCGAAAAATAGAAAATATCCAGTTGTGGCCAGTTGTGTGGATAAAAATGCCTTGTTGATGTCAGAGGAGAATGGGCAAACTGGTTTGATATGATAGAAAGGTAACAGTAACTCTAATAACCACTCGTTACAACCAAGGTATGCAGAATACCATCTCTGAACACACAACACATAGAACCTTGAAGCTGATGGGCTACAGCAGCAAAAGACCACCCCGGGTGCCACACCTGTCAGCTAAGAACAGGACACGGAGGCTACAATTCACACAGGCTCACCAAAATTGGACAATAGCAGGTTGGAAAAACGTTGCCTGGTCCAATGAGTCTCAATTTCAGCAGCAACATTCAGATGAAAGGTTCAGAATTTGGTGTAAACAACATTAAAGCATGGATCCATCCTGCCTTGTATCAATGGTTCATGAATGTGCTGCTGACAAGTCTGCAGCAACTGCGTGATGCTGTCATGTCAATATGGACCAAAATCTCTGAGGAATTTTTCATATTAATGTTTTATAATCATATAAATATACAGTATAATAAATAGTTAAACCCCGCATATTTTAGGAAAACAGAGGTCCTTGCGATTAAATTGGTCACACTTCCAAAATGTTAAATCACACTAAGAGCAATAGTTTTATTAAGCACAAATTTTTGGTAAAAAGTACTCAAAATAATTTTAGTGGACACTAAATATGAAGTTGTGTTAAGTAAATAGATACCCAACATGTCAAATAACATGCTCTGAAACTGGTGACTAATCTCGGTACTCCACAAATTTCTATAAGCAATGCTACAAAAGCTCTTATAGGTCATCAGCTAAGTGTTAACTATGCAAAATTGCCCTGAATTATTGCTCTGACTCCAGCCGGAGTAATGGGGGAGGGGGGGTGCAAGTGTTTTGTGTACTTTTAATTTTTACACTTTTTTTGTCTTAACTATTGCTTTAGCTATCACCAATAGCTCCCTATGTGAGAGCATATTAATAGTGACAGATTCTCTCCAATGAGACATAAGGAGATCTCCCTACACTCCACTGAAACTAATGTAGCACAGATCGCACTCCGAAGTGACAAAATCCTCATTGCTTGTGGGTTCTTACTAACTAGAGGAAATCAGTGAATGGACATTTGGTGCTCTCCCTCCTCTCTACCCTGCTATCCCATATGATATAGCAAAGCCCAGGAAACATGGCAGA